CATGAAGCATTGGGGTGCTTGTGTCTCCCTCAGAGAAGATTCTCATTCTTGGGCATTGCTTAACAACAACATTCACCAACAATGGAAGGTTCAGCACACAATTACCAGAACAAAACCTTTTGATCATTGGCAGACACTCAAGCTCCAAAATTTGTAAGCTGCTGAATGCAATTTCATCTTGAGACCCCTCCCTCTCTTCTGCCGCCACAATTTGCTCAAGTGAATTGCAGTTCTTTATTTTCATTGTTGATAATCTGACCAGACTTCTTGCGGTTGATGAGGTAATCAAGTGAATCAATCTATTGCAATTTTCCACTTCCAGATATGTCAACTGACTAAAAGTTACGGAGGAAGGCACTAAGTGTTTCAATTTGGAACATTGATTCACAAGTAAGATTTCAAGAACCTCAAGAACTGGGTCTATTTGAAATCCTTCTTTACAAATATGCTGGAGTTCATGTAAATTATTGAGTGTCAACTCTTTAAGTCGTGTTCCAGTTTTAAATTTTCCTTTGTGATCTAGAGGCATTTCTTCTTGGAATATCTCCTTGAAAGAACTCCATTCAACAACTAGCACATCGAGAGTGGTGATGTTTTGGAGAAACCAATACTGAAAAATAACATGGTCATCGTAAAAATTTAGCAAACGAAGAACTTTGAGTTTGCTGAAGTGTTTCCCTGAAAATTGCCCTTGTAATATCATGCTTGCATCCTCACTATTTAGCGCTAATGTCTCCAAGTTGCAAATCACCTATATACAACATAGATAAAAAGCACTGATAAACTATTTTGTACACAGCAACATAAAAGAAATAAAATAGTGAGGCAGGAAGAAAGTGATGAATAGCATAAATAATCAAAGATGATTACGCTTTTTGTTTTTGGCAAAATACAGAAAATTATTATGAAACGAGGCATGCATTGAGATATATTTATGGTGTCTGAACAAGTTAAGATTTTTTTTTTTGGGCTATAATTATTGCTTTACCTCTTCGAGTGTGAAAAGAGACTGCTGCATTGAGATGTCGAGTTTACTATCAAAAAGTCTTTCTCGACCACTTGTACTTTGAGTCCTGAAGAGCCTCAATTTCACACAAAAGCGGACATCTAAATCCCTCAATAATGGACATAGTACACTGTGATTTCCAGCAAAAAATCCCTCCAATTCCCATAAACACAAAAGCTCCAATGTGGTCAAGTGATTAAACTCAAATTTAATAGGACTGTCCATGAGGCCTTCTTTGCCTGAAACAATTACTTTCATCCTCCCTGCATACTTTATGGTAATACGTTCAAGTCGAGTAGCTTGCATTGCAATGGAGAGTGGAAAAAGGTATTCCACGGTCTTACAGTGTTCAATACACACAAGCTGCAAACTGGGGAAACGTACCTGCCATTTATTTGAATAAGGCAAGTCAAACACAGACATGATATGTCATCAAACATGACCAATTATGATAATTCAGTAATACTAACTTGACCTGCGAATCATGAATCAAGAAGTTAAATCTTTAAATCTCAAAATATGTACAACAACGCGCAGCAAGATTGTTATGATTTATAAATCTCCCTTGTTTAGCAAGCTTCAATTATTCTGGCGAAAAAAAAAGGTTCCGATTGTCTAGGAAGTCTTTAAAAATTAGTGGCTAAAGTATATGTTTGGCGTTTTATATTTATACCATGTTTTTTTTTTTCCTGAGCTGAATAGTGCGATATTTTTATTTCAGAATCAAGTAAAAAGGCTTACAAACACCAAAAGAAACTAACAAGACAGAAAAGAAAAGAATAAAGCAAAGGCAACACATCAACCAAAAAGCAAAACCAACACAACCAACCAAAGAAAAATCACACAGCTTGCAACGGCCAAGACACGGAAAAAGCAGCAGCACAACCAATTCCTATTCTTTCTCCCACATCAGCAACCGAAGACAGTTCAGCACCACGGAGTTCTTTCTGCAGAAAGGTCAACAAGGAGGATGGTGGCCAACTCAGCCACCCATTTGGTACCATTCCTCCCATAGCACAAGCTGCCATGTGATCTGCAGCTTCATTCCCTAATCTGGCCACCAAGGACACACAAATTCCTCAAAGAACCTCTCAACGTGTTTTATTTTAGTCTTTTAAGTTTACAAAGTGCATTTTTAATCCCTCAATCTTAGCATCTTTAGTTTCACTTAATGGAAAATGTTGATTCATTAAAGTTAGAGATGACTACGTAATTAAACATCAGCAAAAATGCCAGGATTTTAATGTTTTTAATATAATATTATTGTATATTGTCAAAAAGTAATATTATTATATTTAAATTAAAATTAACCAGCCAAAAACCATAAAAATATTATTTTTTTTCAACATAAAATATTATATTTTTGCCTCATTTATTTTAATTTTAATTTTAATTTTCAAAATAAAAATATTAGATTAAAAATATTAAAATGTAGGTATGTTCTGTCAACATTTAATTTTACAGTCTTCACTTAAGTTTGATGGATCAACATTTATTGATGGATCAGCATTTTCCGTTAAATTAAATAAAGGGTTAACGTGTAAATTTCCCTACAAGTTTTTACTCAAGATTGTGAGATACCCACAAGTTTTTTTAGGTATAAATTTGCCTTGAAAGTTTCAAATAGTAGAAATATTACCCCTTTTTATTACAACATTAACGTTGACTGTTAAAATAGTGATGTGAGTTAACATTTTTAACTATAGGTAGTAATATTGCTACAATTTTAAACTTTTGGGACAAATTTAAATACAAAAAAACTCACTAGAAAGAAAACCTTCAGAACAAATTTGTACCTTAATCCTAAAACTAACAGCATTAAGATTGTTGAACTACAAATGCATTTTATAAACTTAAGAGACCAAAAAAAACCTAATGTAAACATAAAGGAGAAACATATAGTTTAGCCAAATTAAAACAAATAAAAGTTTTTATTTGATATGCGTGTCTTAAATAAAATTTGAACAATATTTTTTACTTTTTTTTCCATCTCACATGAATCAAAAAAGAATATTTATAAATACAATATGGAAAAACAAAAAAACAAAAGCATATATACTGCATACAGAAGCATTAAGGCTAGAAAGAACTTAGAAGGCACCAAGGCTACGAAACGAGGCAATGAATTCAGCACTAGAAAAAACGTACGAGTATTATTTCACACAAACACGCAAAATCCTTGTGGCTAACACAATATTACCATATTTTTATTGGATCTTCGGAATCTGCCTTTTTCTTAATTGAGTAAATACGCTAAAAATAAATATTAAACCTATGCTACATCTGTTCAAAACATAACGCAAACTATAGTTAAGCAGCAAGTCTTATATCATACCTGTTGAATGGAACATGCACGACGCTGATGCTGGATTTGACCTTTTGTTGTTTCTCTAAAACTGACAGTTTCTTGGAAGTTCTGTTTCCATACGTGTTTGAGCTTAGGTAGTCTAGAGAGAGTTATTCTCTTCAGCGGAATGGTCTCCTTAACAAAGACTTCCTTTCGATCCATGTTGGTCAGATCAAACACAACTTCCAATGACTCACATTCACTTACTTGAAGTTCCTCTAAGTTGGATAGCGCTTGCACCAAATTTAAAGGCAGCAGCACATCTGATAAAAAATCACATTTCTGCACTACCAGATTCCTCAAATTAACAAACACTCCCTGTTGAACAAGGTTGTACCACGATTCTCTTAACTCTGGATACTGAGATAGCTCTAACTGCTCAAAACTATGGAATGCCACCTGCAAAAATTGAGGTGCAGGGTCAGTAGAAAGAAATAAAGGCATAACTAAAGCAAACTAAACATAAGGCTTTTTTAAATGTTTGTCCATAAAATTTTGCTATTGGAAGTCAGAAAAAGTTTGTAATTATATGTAGAGAGTGATCTTCTTCCTCTTGTCTATCAAAATTTTTTTAGTCAAATTCAAAACGTACCATATCCACGAACATCTTGTTTATTGTTCTGTTTATGTCACCTTCCCAATACATCTTTTCATCTTCTTCCTTTGACAGTATCTCATGAAGCATTGGGGTGCTTGTGTCTCCCTCAGAGAATATCCTCATTCTTGGGCATTGCTTAACAACAACATTCACCAACAATGGAAGGTTCAGCACACAATTACTAGAGCAAAACCTTTTGATCATTGGCAGACACTCCAGCTCCAAAATTTGTAAGCTGTTGAATGCAATTTCATCTTCAGATCCCTCCCTCTCTTCTGCCGCCACAATTTGCTCAAGTGAATTACAGTTCTTTATTTTCATTGTTGATAATTTGACCAGACTTCTTGCGGTTGATGAGGTAATCAAGTGAATCAATCCATTGCAATTTTCCACCCCCAAATATGTCAACTGACTGAAAGTTACGGAGGAAGGCACTAAGTGTTTCAATTTGGAACATTGATCCACATATAAGGTTTCAAGTACCTCAAGAACTGGGTCTATTTGAAATCCTTCTTTACATATGTGCTGGAGTTCATGTAAATTACTGAGATCCAAATATTTAAGTCGTGTCCCACTTTTAAATTTTCCTTTGTGATCTATAGGCATTTCTTCTTGGAATATCTCCTTGAAAGAACTCCATTCAACAAGTAGCCCATCGAGAGTGGTGATGTTTTGGAGAAACCAATGCGGAAAAATGACATGGTCATTGACAAAATTTATCAAACAAAGAAATTTGAGTTTGCTGAAGTGTTCCCCTGAAAATTGCCCTCGTGATATCATGCTTGCATCCTCACTATTTAGCGTCAATCTCTCTAAGTTGCAAATCACCTATGTACAGCATAGATAGAAAGCGTTGATAAACTATTTTGTACACAGCAGCATAAAAGAAATAAAATAATGAGGCAGGAAGAAAGTGATGAATAGCATAAATAATCAAGCCTGATTTTTTTTTTTTTGAACAATATAGAAAATTATGATGAAACGAGGCATGCATTGAGATACATTTATGGTGTCTGAACAAATTAAGATTTTTTTTCCTATAATTATTGCTATACCTCTTCAAGTGTGAAAAGAGACCGCTGCATTGAGATGTAGAGTCTACTATCGAAGAGTCTTTCTTGGCCCCTTGTACTTTGAGTCTTGAAGAGCTTCAATTTTACACAAAAGCGGACATCTAATTCCCTTAATACTGGACATAGCACACTATGATTTCCAGCAAAAAATCCCTCCAGTTCATATAAACCCCAAAGCACCAATGAGGTCAAGTGATTAAACTCAAATTTAATAGGACTGTCGATGAGGCCTTCTTTGCCTGAAACAATATGTTTCATACTCCTAGCATGCTTTATGGTAATACGTTCAAGTCGAGTAGCTTGCATTGCAATGGAGAGTGGAAAAAGGTATTCCATGGTCTCACAGTCTTCAACACACACAAGCTTCAAATTGGGGCAACATACCTGCCATTTATTTGAATAAGGCAAGTCAAACACAGACATGATATGTCATGAAACATGACCAATTATGATAATTCAGTAATACTAAATTGACCTGCGAATGATGAATCAAGAAGTTAAATCTTTAAATCTTAAAATATGTGCAACAACGTGCAGCAAGATTGTTATGATTTATAAATCTCTCTGTTTAGCAAGCTTCAATTATTCTGGCGAAAGAAAAAAAGGTTCCGATTGTCTAGGAAGTCTTTAAAAATTAGTAGCTAAAGTATATGTTTGGCGTTTTATATTTATACCATGTTTTTTTTTTCCTGAGCTGAATAGTGCGATATTTTTATTTCAGAATCAAGTAAAAAGGCTTACAAACACAAAAAAGAAACTAACAAGACAGAAAAGAAAAGAATAAAGCAAAGGCAACACATCAACCAAAAAGCAAAACCAACAAAACCAACCAAAGAAAAATCACACAGCAGGCAACGGCCAAGACACGGAAAAAGCAGCAGCACAACCAATTCCTATTCTTTCTCCCACATCAGCAACCGAAGACAGTTCAGCACCACGGAGTTCTTTCTGCAGAAAGGTCAACAAGGAGGATGGTGGCCAACTCAGCCATCCATTTGGTACCATACCTCCCATAGCACAAGCTACCATGTGATCTGCAGCTTCATTCCCTAATCTGGCCACCAAGGACACACAAATTCCTCAAAGAACCTCTCAACGTGTTTTATTTTAGTCTCTTAAGTTTACAAAGTGCATTTTTAATCCCTCAATCTTAACATCTTTAGTTTCACTTAATGGAAAATGTTGATTCCTTAAACTTAGCGATGACTACGTAATTAAACACCAATAAAAATGCCAGGATTTTAATGTTTTTAATATAATATTATTGTATATTGTCAAAAAGTAATATTTTTATATTTAAATTAAAATTAACCAGCCAAAGACCATAAAAATATTATGTTTTTCAACATAAAATATTATATTTTTGCCTCATTTATATTAATTTAAATTTAAATTTAAAAATATTAATTGTTTTCAAAATAAAAATATTAGATTAAAAATATTAAAATGTAGCTATGTTCTATCAACATTTAATTTTACATTCTTCACTTAAATTTGAAGGATCAACATTTATTGATGGATCAGCATTTTCCATTAAATTAAATAAAGGGTTAACGTGTAAATTTCCCTACAAGTTTTTACTCAAGATTGTGAGATATCCACAAGTTTTTTTAGATATAAATTTGCCTTGAAAGTTTCAAATAGTAGAAATATTACCCCTTTTTATTACAACATTAACGTTGACTGTTAAAATAGTGATGTGATCGTTAACATTTTTAACTATAGGTAGTAACATTGCTACCATTTTAAACTTTTGGGACAAATTTAAATACAAAAAAACTCACTAGAAAGAAAACCTTCAGAACAAATTTGTACCTTAATCCTAAAACTAATGGCGTTAAGATTGTTGAACTACAAATGCATTTTATAAACTTAAGAGACCAAAAAAAACCTAATGTAAACATAAAGGAGAAACATATAGTTTAGCCAAATTAAAACAAATAAAAGTTTTTATTTGATATGCGTGTCTTAAATAAAATTTGAACAATATTTTTTACTTTTTTTTCCTTCTCACATGAATCAAAAAAGAATATTTATAAATACAATACGGAAAAACAAAAAAACAAAAGCATATATACTGCATACAGAAGCATTAAGGCTAGAAAGAACTTAGAAGGCACCAAGGCTACGAAACGAGGCAATGAATTCAGCACTAGAAAAAACGTACAATTATTATTTCTCACACGCACACACACACCAAATCCTTGTGGCTAACACTATATTATCATATTTTTATTGGATCCTCTGAATCTGCCCTTTTTTTTAATTATTGAGTAAATATGATAAAAATAAATATTAAACCTATGCTACATATGTTCAAAACATAACGCAAACTATAGTTAAGCAGCAAGTCTTTTATCATACCTGTTGAATGGAACATGCTGGACGGTGACGCTGGATATGACCTTCTGTTGTTTCTCTAAAACTGACAGTTTCTTGGAAGTTCTGTTTCCATACGTGTTTGAGCTTAGATAGTCTAGAGAGAGTTATTCTCTTCAGCGGAATGGTCTCCTTAACAAAGACTTCCTTTTGATCCATGTTGGTCAGATCAAACACAACTTCCAATGACTCACATTCACTTACTTGAAGCTCCTCCAAGTTGGATAGCGCTTGCACCAAATTTAAAGGCAGAAGCACATCTGATAAAAAATCACATCTCTGCACTACCAGATTCCTCAAATTAACAAACACTCCCTGTTGAACAAGGTTGTACCACGATTCTCTTAACTCTGGATACTGAGATAGCTCTAACTGCTCAAAACTATGGAATGCCACCTGCAAAAATTGAGGTGCAGGGTCAGTAGAAAGAAATAAAGGCATAAATAAAGCAAACTAAACATAAGGCTTTTTTAATGTTTGTCCATAAAATTTTGCCATTGTAAGTCAGAAAAAGTTTGTAATTATATGTAGAGAATGATCTTCTTCCTCTTGTCTATAAAAATTTTTTTAGTCAAATTCAAAACGTACCATATCCACAAACATCTTGTTTATTGTTCTGTTTATGTCACCTTCCCAGTACATCTTTTCATCTTCTTCCTTTGATTGTATTTCTCGAAGACTTGGGGTGCTTGCGCTTTTCATAGAGAAGATGTTCATTCTTGGGCACTGCTTAACAACAACATTCACTAGTGATGGAAGGTTCAACACAGAGTTACTAGAGCAGAAACTCTTGATCATTGGCAGACACTCAAGCTCCAAAATTTGTAAGCTGTTAAATGCAATTTCATTTTCAGACCCTTCCCTCTCTTCTGCCACCACAACTTGCTCAAGTGAATCGCAGTTCCTTATTTTCACTGTTGTTAATTTGACCAGACTTCTTCCAGTTGATAAGGTCATTAAGTGAATCAATCCCTTGCAATTTTTCACTGCCAAATATGTCAAGTGACTAAAAGTAACAGAGGAAGGCACTAAGTGTCTCAATTTGGAACATCGATCCACATCTAAGTATTCAAGCTCTTCAAGAACCGGGTCTATTTGAAATCCTTCTTTGCATATATGCTCCAGATCATCCAATCGATGGAGTGCCAATGATTTAATTCGTGTTCCGATCTTAAATTTTCCTTTGTCCTGTATAGGTATTTCTTCTCGGAATATCTCCTTGAAAGAACTCTTTTCAACAAGTAGCTCATTGAGAGTGGTTACGTTTTGGAGAAACCAATAGGGAAAAGTAGCGTGATCATCTTCAAAATTTGCCAAATAAAGAATTTTGAGCTTCCTGAAGTGTTTTCTTGCAAGTTGTCCTTGTGATATTATGCTTGCATCCTCACTATTTAGGGCTAACTTCTCCAAGTTGCAAATCACCTATATGTAACACAGGTGAAAAGCATATGTCAAATATTTTGTATATAGCAACATAAATAGGCATGAGAGTGAGGTAGGAAACAAGTGATAAATAGACTGCATAATCAAACCTGTTTAATTTTTTTTTTTAATATAGAAGGATATTATGAAGGAAAAAAAATGCATGCATTGAGATATTTATGGTGTCTAAATAAATTAAGATTTTTTTCTTCTATACCTCTTCAAGTGTAAAAAGAGGCTGCTGCATTGAGATTTGCTGTTTACCATCAAAAACTCTATCTCGGGCTCTCGTACCTTGTGTCTTGAAGAGCTTCAATTTCAAACACATGCGGACATCTAATGCCCTTAATAATGGACATAGTAAACTATGTTTTCCAGCATAAAGTCCTTCAAGTTCCAATAAATTCCAAAACACCAAAGAGGTCAGGCGATTAAACTCAAATTTGACTGGACTGTCCATGGGGATCACTTTGTTGCCTGAAACAATATGTTTCATCCTCCCTGAATATTTTATGATAATATGTTCTAGTTGAGTAGCTTGCATTGCGATGGAGAATGGAAAAAGGTATTCCAAGTTCTCACAGTCTTCAACGCGCACAAGTTGCAAATTATGAAAACGAAGGTTTGCTTGAGCATCTCTACTCCAAATGTGTTTCAGCTTTGGCAAGCCAAGCAGATGGAGTTTCTTCAATTGTGAGACTTGTGCGGTTGTTTCGTCTTCGTTACGGATTTCTTTGGAAGCTAATTCGAATATCTCTTCTACTGAACCACAATCGCTGACCTTCAATGTCTCGAGGCTTCCAAACGTTCCCTGCAGATCAGATGGGAAAATATTCGCAAGTTTCCCACAATTGCTTACCTCCAAGCTCTTTAACCTATCAAATTGAGAGTGCCATACTTTCTTCAAGCTTTCCATGTCTTTAACTACCATGGTCTCCAACTTTGTGAACCGGACCTATGATACAAAGCACAGTTTACAAATCCAAAAGAACCAACATTTAATATGAGAGATATTGAATAGAAGTACACAAGCGCAAATGTTTGATGTTGTGGTGTAAACATTTATTTCAAATCTAATCGTAATACCTCTTGTGTTGCAAGGCTATCTGGAGCAATGATTTCCTCCATCATATCACATTTACTTATTTCAAGGTGTTTGAGTTTTGAAAGACTCCCAACCACAAAGATGAGAATAAATGCTTGAGGCCTCTGCAATCCTCAACAATCAAGTTAGTCAAATTCTGAATACAATTGGCTGCAGAAAGGTGATGATCATCCCAAATTTTTTCCAGATTGATTGAACTCAACTTCAGGGTCTCCAAGCTAGAGAAACTAACCTGTGATTGAAAAAATTTGTTACTTTCAACTTGGTAAATGAAAAAAAAAAAAAAAAGAGGGAAAGATGACAATTTGATCGACACTGAGAGAGCCATTGATAATTTGGTCTCATGAATTTAATAAATTATATATAAGTGTCAAAGAATTTGGGTGCAATTTTTATGACTTATAGGCCTTTGGCCGTGGACAGGATGGCAAATAATTAATATTTCAATAATATTTTATTATAATACTATTATTTTAATAATATTTCCCGATGACAATTTACAAGTCTACGTCTGCTATTTGCAAATAGAATTTTGCATCAATTCACCACCAAACTAATTTTTATTTTCATATTCAAATTTTACGAATCCATTGAAAGCTTCTTCTCACCTATTCTACAAATTATTTCTTCGCATTTTATTACTCTTTTCTTTTTAAACTCTTTTCTATTTTCACCTCATAAATTGCTTGTAAGATTTTTAAAGTTTTGATTCTTTACAAAAAAAAGTTTCTAAAATTTATAAGTTAAACTTTAAAATATGTATTTTTATAGGTTTTTCAAATGTTGCAAATTGGTTTTTTTTTTTCGAATTGAAAAAATTTTCACCCCATAAGAATTAATTTCAACAAGTGGTATATTACAATGGATTTGTAAAAATTTATTATGTAAACATCTTCTAAAAAGTAAATGCGTTTGTACAAAACTATCATAGACAATTTAGACAAGTAGGAAAATGCATTTGTTAAACAACGCTTGAGTAACACGAATATAGTATTATAAATCTAAATTAAATAACCCGACATAATAAGAAGTTTTCTTTAAAAATAAAAACAAAAACTGTATATCTATATATAAAAAATGTACAGGTTTAGATGACCTCGGAGAAAAGTTAGTTGTTGAGTTTTGTAAATACAAAAATTTCAATTGCAGTTCAAAGGAGAACTGATCAATTGTAATATGAAATGAATTGGGAAGCAATTTATGAGTTAAAAATAACAACCAAAGAATTGTAAAATTTACGGATATAGCTTGCAAAAAAAAAAAGAAAAAAGAAGAGACCAAATTTTAAATGGATTTATAAAATTTGAAGAACGTGTGAGAAAAGACATAAGTTTTAAATAATGTATGATTTGTAAATAGTGCAATGGGCTTGTAAATTGTTACAAGAAAATATTATTAAAATAATCATCATATTTAAATTAATTATTAATAAAATATTAATGATAATTTTTTAATGCCCTGTTGGTTCTAGTTCTTACCGGCTCGTCACCCATCAATGGTGCTCAAAGGTCGAAGGTTTAGAATAGAATTTTCGATATTTTGCATGTGTTAAAAGTTGATACTAGAGATTCTTAGGACTTGTCTATAATTTATCTAACAAATTTGTTAGGACAAAATTATGATTTCCTCTAAAAATATAATTTTTCCAGAGGGAGTAACTCGTTACATTAATAATTTGACATTCTACTTCTATATATATATATACTCCTCCGGTCCTTATTATAAGACCCAATTTGACTTTTTATTTGGTCCTAATTATAAGACCCAATCCATTTTGTCTCTTATATTTATACTTTTTTTCCAAGATAATCCTTCTAATAATGATAGTTTTAGCCAATATACTTAATTAGCAAGGATATTTTAGGAATGACAACACTTATTTATTATAAATAACCAACTTCACTTACTTCCTTAATCTCCTTAAATAAGTCAATTGGGTCTTATAATTAGGACCGGAGGAGTATATATTAAAAAATACCATACATGATCATTGTGATAGTTACTTGTGATTCAGTCATTTGATCTAAATTGTAAATAACAAAATTATAAATCGAATGAAGAAGAAAGATACCTTAGTGCCATTAAATAATGATGTGGCTGTCATAAAAGATGTCAATTCATTTGAGCAAAAGTCATGGATGACTGGCAAATGACAAAGACTCAATGAGCACAGTGAATGAAATTCAATCTTCTCATCACTAATTAGTCCACTATCGACATTTTCAATTAACACAATCCTCTTCATTGAACTGCATTCCAAAACTTGGAGCTCAACAAGTTGAGAAAGAGCTTTCACCATTATAACAGAAAAGAGATATACCAGTTGGTCACAACTTTTAACTTTGATGACTGTGAGTTTGCCAAAGGAATTAACAGGAAGTGGGCCATGACATATCTTCACTAAGTTATGAAGATTGTGAAGTACTAGTGTCTCCAATTTTGGAAACAAAACATGAGTTTCATTCCCCTCTGTTATGTTGATGATATGCTGAACCTGGTCATTATTTTGGATATGGAGATACTTTAGTAGAGGAAATCCTTCTGCATTCAAATCGAAAAGCACATCTGAAATTCCATTGACTTCATCTAAGTACAAATCTTCCACTTGTTTAATCAATGCTTTAATCCCATGTTCTAAATGAATGCTAGTACCAAGCTTTAGCTTTAGCAACCTTGAGGTACTTTTGTTCCTCGACCATTCCCATTTATCTCCGATGACAATCTTGTATCTCTCTAAGTTTTCAAACATCATGTCCCTCGAAAGCATCCAAGCCTCAGGAATTTGAATTTCTAAAGCAGTCAGGCTTGTCAAACACCCAAGCTCAGCAAGACAAGCACTTTTGTTTTGCTCAGCTGAACTTTCCTCCCCCCACTTAACTAAGGCATTGCCCATATAAAGCTCCTCTATTTTAGTCAATTTGGATAAAGTGTTGGGTGGGATGATCTTAATTCTAGACTTTGTCAATTCCAACATTTTTATACGAGTTAGTTGTCCTATTTCACTAGGAAACTCCACCATGTATGAACCCCAAAAACTAAGAATTTCTAAATTTGTCAAGTCACCTATTCCAGCCATATTTTTCATAGTGCATTGATCCAAACACAAAGTTTTAAGCTTGGTCAAGGAAAGAAGAGATATAGGCAGTGAAGGTATTATCAAGCCTGTCAAATCTAATGCTTCAAGGTTTCCCATTCCCTCGAAAAAAGAGTCTGGAATTTCCAAAGTGCAGCCCTTTCTAAAAGTTAAGAGGAAAAATTTCAAATTAGGGCAGTCTAGCTTTTGAGGAAGCTCTTGGATAAAACAATTTCTTAAGATTATTTGAGTACACCTTTCAAGAAATATCTTGCTTGGCCAATCTTGCATATTATCATTTCTCAATGCAAAAACATGTTCACTCTTACGAGCAATTGAAACAGCTGTTTCACAGACAATGTCATGCATTGTAATCCTATCGGTCTTGTTTGCATCATTCTCAATTAACAAACAAGATGCCTTCAAGTCATCAATTATTTTGTGCAGTCGATTTCTTGCATCTTTAATGGTATCTATGTGTTTCAGAACCCCCAAACCAAATAATAATTTTAACAAGTAACTAACCCACATGGATGGTCCATAGGCACCACATAGCAAGAATACTTTCTTCATTTCATCATCTTCTAGGCGGTTGTAAGTAAATTTAAAAGCTGAAAAAACAATCCCATCTTTGTCTTCATTATCAACTCTCTTTAAGTTGTTCAAGGCATCTTTCCAATAATGAATATTCTTATTAAATTTTAGTGACTTTGCAATTGAGACTATCATAACAGGCAAACCTGCACATCTTTCAACCACTTGGGTTGCTATGTTCTGCAAATCAGCATCTTCAATAGCATCACCAACCATGTCTTTAAACAAAGTCCATGATTCTGCATTATCTAATGCTTTTATATGAAAGTTACTTTGAGTCTCATTCTTTTGTAAAATATCCAAACGTCTAGAAGTCAATAATAATTTGCAACCTTGATAAGTTTCATTCTTCTGCGAAATATCTAAACGTTTAGAAGTTAATGACAATTTTTCATCCTTAAGATCTTGCTCAGATGGAATTCCCAACATGTCCAAATCTATTTTCTCCCATAAGTCATCTAGTATGATAAGGATATTTTTCTCCATTTTTATCCTTGCAAAAAGGCGGTCAGCTCTTCCAATTGACGTCTTCTCATCCAAGTGGAAGCCTAATTGATATGCAATCTCATCTTGAACTCTTTCAACATCCAACGGTTGGGGTATAGTTGCCATAGCTACCATATCAAATAGCTTTCTATCCTTAACATGTTTGGCAACTTCTTTAGCTAGAGTGGTCTTCCCCACTCCACCCCACCCATAAATTCCAACTTTGCTTACTTTGGGGTCAGCTAGAGACAACATAACCTCCTCCTTCACTGAGTTTCTTGAGTCAAGCTTTTCACTACCTCGAGCTGCAAAAATTAAGCCTCCCATGCTAGAAGCGGGGACATACCCAACTCCACCATCAAACTTCCCCTTGTCCTTTAGTTCAGCAATGGTGAATGTCATTTTTTTCGCTTTTCTGCCAAGTTGATGTCGAGATATCAAATTAGGAAAAGACCATTTCCAACACTGTACACTAGCACGAGGTTGATCATCGCGAAGTTTCTCTACGTCTTCCAAGGTATGGTCAACTCTGTTTTGCCAACTTAGTACTTCATCTTTAGTCTCTCTTCCGTTCCTTCTTTCTGCTTCAACATCATGCTCGACGCGAACTTTTCTTGTCTTCAACTCCTCAATTTTATCCTCTAGCTCCTTCAAGTTCCCTTTGTAAAATAGTAAATATTCCACTTGCCTTCCAACGGGCATAAAAGTTAACTCTGCTATTTTTCCAACGATAGCAGTGAGAACTTCCATTCTTACTTCCTAAATAAAATGATAAGAAATTTAATACTTGGATAAGCAGCAGAAGTCACAGTTCTAAAGATAATCCCCCCACCAAAAAAAAAGGGACTCATACCCAAACCCCGCGAACATATACGATTATTATTTGACTTTAACAAATAAAAGTTAGTATGATCAGTAGTAAATCCGAAGTAGCTCTCAAATTGGAATTCAAGTCGTTAGTTCAGGTTTTGAAGGGTTCAATGAATCTGTGCATTATTCATGTGAGTATGTGTGTATCTATTCCCATCTCTTCTTCCTTTGGATTATGTGACTCTGTTTGCCTAGTTTAATAAAAGCTTTCCTTTTTCTTGTTTTCAACTGGCTTTGGACTTTATATGATCAACCCCCAAATATAATCTACAAAAAACGGCACCATCTTTTGTTTTTGGGTCTTTTTATTTTTATTTTTTAATTTTTGGTAGACACATATATTCTTCTATCAGAGACAATTGTCGGACATTAAATATGGGCAGCTCTTTTAGGAAAAATTTGAATATTAGTTTACTATGTTATGAGGAACTAATCCTTTATGTTAGATCCAACCCCCATTGTTGGTTGTTTTGATGGGAGAAAATTATTTTCTTGCTAAGGATGGTTTGAGCAATTATTTTCTTTTAGACTCTTGTCCTCCTCTCTAGTTACTTCAGAGGGTATGGGATTTAAGTCCCCTCTAACTTAGTTTTCCTTATTGTTTTGCGGGACTTAGCCCTTCTCTTGTAACCAAATATATATACTCCTCCGGTCCTTAATATAAGATTCAATTATTAAGTTGGTTTTGGTCCTAAATATAAGACCCATTTCTCATATTTATCAATAATTTCTAAATTACCCCTATGGATACTCCCTCAACCATAATCAAGTAGAAGAAGGAGAGGGGGTATTGAGAAAGATGATTATGGTGTTTTAGGAAAAACGTGTCATATTTATTACAATTAACTAACTTACCTAACTTCCTTAATCTAATCAAATTAGTTAAATGGGTCTTATATTAAGGACTGGAGGAGGATATATATATATATATATATATATATATGTTTGAAGGAATTCAGGCCAAGTCCGTTCAGGTTTGAATTAAACTTGAATGCTCAAATGCAATTTTTTTTTTGCATATTAAAATTTAAATATTTAATTTCATTCCCCAAAACGAAGGCATAGGGGATAGATTGAGGCATTTCAGGATGTGATGAAGTATTTATAATTTTCTTTTAGCAGTTTATATATGTTTAATTAGTGTCCAATTTGAATTCAATATCTCTGTAACTTAAGTTTGGCTTTTACCAACTCTCGTGAGTGCTACGGAATTTTTAAATGGCCGCGGGAGATTGTTTAATTTTTATCGTCCACTTGTTGGGTTTTTTTTTAAAAAATTTTCGCTGCTTATCTAATGTCAAAAGTGTAGATTATATGATGTTTAGTAAACCTTTGATATTAGTTTATGGGTATATTTAATCCTTAATTCCTTTTGTTTTAGTTAGAGTATTTTGGTACTTTTATTAAAAAATTATGAGTCCCACTATGGATGTTTGTTCATTTTAATGGCGCTGACATTATTGACCCTTTTTTTAAACTTGGATTATTAAATTTGAGCCAAGAAAAGGGGTCATAGTGTTTAATGAACTTTTAGTATATTTTTATAGGTATTTTTTACTTTTATCTTTCATATAAATATGGATAGGTAATTGATAGTCATAGAAATATGTAAAGTTTCTTTCAGAAAGAGTTTGAGAGATTAATTTTATTATGGCATCAACACCTTTCATAATTCTAACTTACATCACGCCTACCAACCGACATTCTCGACCCACGACTTTCGGTGGCAGTTGCAATGCCTGCCTTCTCATTTCCAATTAATAGGCATTGTTCATCCCACCCTCCTTCAACAAATTATAAACAAATCCCACAAAATATATATATATATATATATATATATATTGGCATTGTTTGGTTTTTTATTTTCAAAACAGTTTTTTGTTTTTAAAAACAAAACAATAAAAAAACTTGTTTAGTAATTTATTTTTAGTTAAGTGTTTTTAGAAGCAAAAAAAAGCAGAAATATGTTTTTCAAAACTTAAAAATGAAAACAACTTTTAATTGTTTTATTTTTCTTTTTTGTATTTTTTATTTTTTGTTTGAGAAAATCGGGAAACATTTTTCTTCTCGACTTGATTGCTTTTTCTCTATTTAAAGACTCAAGTTCTCGTCGAAAATTCACCTTTCGATCTAAGTATATTTGTTTTCAAATGTAGTTTTTCAGAACAATTATCTAAACAGGTTTTTTTGAAACTTGTTTTAAAAAAATAATTTTATAAAATTGTTTTGAAGGAAAAAAAACAAAAACAAACAGCCCCATAATTTTCTAAGCACGTTTTTTTCCCCCTTTCTATTCACTATAAACAATCCCTCAAAACAACAGAAAGGTAATAAGAATTAAGAGGCGGCATCTATAGGAATAGCAAAAACGAAAACAATACTGAGAGAAACAATAAGGAGGAAGCAATGCATTATATAAATACACACACCTCCTTACTAGAAGTGGATGGGAGGCACTGTTGTGGTTGTTGTTCTTGCTCGAGCCAAGAAGGTTCTGTGATTGAGAACAAAAGCAGATTAGCTATTCATCAATTCATGCCATTTATTATTAATTATTGGGTGAAATTGCATTTATGTGGAGTATTTTTTTAGGCACATCTATCATCTTAAAATATTTTATAATGCAATTTTACGCTTAATAATTTAGAGCGCTCAATGAACCAAATAAAATTTAATATGTAAGAAATGTTAGATGCATCACCAAATATTATAGGATACTGGATGAGCATATAAAAATATTTCAAGATAATGGATGCCTTTTAATCTATAACTATTTCAATTATTTTATCAGAAAACTATCAAGAGGCAGAATTTACCAGCAACACTATTGATCAATACAACTTTGGTCTCTCTTGAACTATGTAGACGAAGCAGACACTTCCAAAATCTCCAGGGCAATTTTTTTTGTCTTTTTTTTTTGTTTGAGATTGACAACTTGTTTTTGGGAAGAAAAAACAGTTTTATATGGGATCTTAAGAGGAGAAAAAGAGAACCGAAATTTTTTTTAAAGATTTTTATGGGCAGATGATTGACAAGAAAACAACAAAGCTAATCCAGGAAAATGTTTTTTTTTTTTTTGGGATTTTGAAAAGTTGCTTGTATGTGGAAAAGAGCTGAACAATTTGAGAAACAGAGTGCTGAAAAAAAAGCTTAAGAAATAGGAAGCAATGAATATATGATGATCTCCAACAAGAATACGATAATGAAAAGACACTTCCAAAAACACAAAAGAATTTTTTAAAAAAAATATTTTTTGGTTCCCTTTTGAAATTTTTATGTAAGAACGAACACAATGAAAAGCAACAGTCTTGTTATAATATAATGCAGAAGATGAACAGCAGGGAAAAGAATGTTCAAACGATTTTTTTCTTCTTGTTTTTTTTTTATATAAATTTTATGGGTATATGATGGACAACAACGAAACAAGTTTGACTTGAAAAATGGAAACAAGGTCTGGCCAGGAAAAAGAAAACAGAGAACGAAAGAAAGAAAATTGGGAACAAGGTGTAAACAGATATGACAGAGACGAGGAAATGATTTGGAATGATTTGTTTCTGAAACTTGTAAGGAAACAGAGGAAGAAATTTGAAGAACAGAGCGTGCTGAAAGTTTTAGAAACAGGGGGTAATGAATAAGAGATCTCAATGTAAACAATGGCAATAATAAGATGTGGAAGAAGATGATCGGTGAGAGAAACACATAAAAGAAAGACTAATGCTTGCCTACACATAAAGGAAAGGACCTTGCAAATTATTTTGGGGACTCAACTTTATACCTTGCTTCTTGTCTTAGTCCTACGAATTATTCTTAAAAAAGAAAAGTAAAAGAACCTTAATTACCTGCATGAAATTTCATGAAAAAAATGAATCATTTGAATATTAATATGAAAAAAATACATTGATTATTAAAAGAATTAATAAGATCAAGATATAAAGGTGCACATTTGGTCTTCTAATTTGATATAAGATTTCAATTTAATTCTTCAATCGTATAAAGTGTTTTTTCCAATTTCTAATCTTAACAGTATTAGTTTCGTTAACATATAATGCTGACATTACAATTTTAAATGCTAGCAAAACATTCGAAGATGCTAATAATTTAAGTTTATAAAAGAATAAAAAATGAGGAGTAACATATTATAATTTGAAAATTCTTTGTGGATACTTAAGATTGCAATGACAGTATTTTCTGGTAATAAAATTAGTGGTGGTAGAATTAAAGTACGAATAAAATACTATAAGAAATCGAGGAGCTAAATTAAAGTTCTGTAGAAGGCTAAAATTGGATTTTTGTGTCTTGTTAATAAATAATAAACAAATAATGAATCTCATTAGGTGATATAATATACTGATTTAAATTACTTGATGAGACAATATTTTTCATGTATCACATTCGGATGAGTGTATTATACGGTTACTCCCTCTGTATATATTTGGTCATTTTCTAAAACAAACACGTAAATTTAAACAGTAGCAACTTTATATTAACTCTGTAGTGGCTTTTTAAGTTCACGTCTTTAGATAAAAGTAAGTTTGTGAATTTCTTTTATTTATAGATAATTTTAATAATTTAGATACCTTTCTTTAGTCAAAGTTAGCGAATTAAAATTAAATTATATATTTAAAATTACAGGAAGTATGTATATCACAAAATTAATAAATAACCATCTTATATTTTACGTCGAAGTTTCAAAGACAAAAAGTGCCAAATCTGAGGATTTAGAAGCAACGAATATCAAGATCTCCTGCAAGAAGTAAACAAATTATTCTGTCGGAAAAAAAATATATATAAAGAAAAACTTCAGGCTGCCTACTCATAAAGAAAAGCACCTTGGAAATTACCTTCAAGACTCAAAACTATATTCTTAGGTGTCGGGTCCT